AACACTCTCAGGCACATGGTGTGGCTCTGTGCAGGGCTGGGAGCTGGATTCAATGATCCTAATGGGTTCTCTTGAGCTCAGTCTGTTTTATGATTCTGTGATAACCTGGACTGGTTGACTGAGCAGTGGTAGCCTCAGTGGCACTGAGATGCAACATAACATATTTTCAGTATTTTCTGTTATTTGCATACTACTTGTGGTCAGATCCTTCTGTCAGAGGCACATTTGCCATTTCAGTCTAGAGGCTTCTAGGAAAACAAAGCTGGTCACTGTTGAGAGATTTTGAGGTTTTCTTGTTACATCCATCATTGCCATCGTGCTGCATCTCATGCTGGTGTTATTTTGAATTCAGTCAGAATTCATCTGACATTTCATGCATCATGGCATGGTGAGAGAAGAGGTCAATTCTCTTCCCCTCAAAGTCAAACCAGGAAACACCTGGTACAAATGCTGTGAGGAAAGCACATGTAAAATTATGTGAGATTCAAAGAAAAAATGCTGCATTTTTTAATCACGTCAAAGGAGTCTTATATTTTTCTGTCTCTTATAAACAAAATTCTTGCAGTGGTTAAAAGTTTTGCAAGGATGAAAATAAGAGGCCTTTTTTTCTTGAAAATTTTTTCATACATACATTATGAGATAGGGTGGTGCATGAGTGCTTGAAATCTGCTGTGTGCATACTTTTTTCTGAGGATTAGTGCCATTGTGTAGCTGATGAAATACTCAGCTTGGCTTATAAAAGTGATGGGAAGGGAGAGAAGGAGAGTCAGTCTAATAAATCTGAAACTATGAGCATAAACTTGATTTTGAAGTGGCAAGCTGATGGAGCATTTGGTTACTCATGCTAGTGGGGAAGGACAAAGCATGGGCAGCAGAAAGGGTTTATCCCTTTAAGCCCAAGGTGGCAAGCTGGGTGGCACACACATGTGTAGGTAATCACCTGTACATCCTTACCTATGTTCTTGGGCAAGAGCATTCATATGTCACCAGAAAGGATCTGTGAGCTGGAAGGTTCAGTTTTTCACTTGGTTTTTCTTTTCTTCTCTTTATTTATTTATTTAAGCCAGGCTATATAAGGACAATGAGAGGCTGTGTGAAAATGTGGCTTTCAGTTGATTTAAGATGAGTTACAGAAGTGTTGGAATTTGCTATTCTAACCCCATGGCTTCATAATAAAGCTGAGGTTAACCCTATTCCAGCCCTGTCTGCACCAAGAAAAGGTGGTTTTTAACCGGAGCTGTCAGGCTGTAAGGAGTGGATGGGAAAGGGTTTGCAGTGAGTCTAAAGGGCTGGGTCTCTCAGGGCAGGTGTGCCACTAGTAAGTGGCACCTCACATCATTTACTGGGTTTGAGCTGGGGAAGCTTGTTTACTCCTGGAGGGGTTAGTCTTGTGAGCTTCACTTTTGTGGCTAGCTGGGAGACAGACAGAGGGGTCAAAACCATGTTTGTATAACAGGGAAAAGTCAGATGTTCTGCCCGCAAAAGTGGCATAGCAATTTAAGAACTTATTTTCAACTTTACCTCACTAAGCTGTTGGCTGAGACTTATTAACACAACCATGGTGGGGTCCCTATCCCTCTTACCAGGAGCAAAACAGTCACATCAGCAAGAAGAGATGAGCAGTGGATGGCAGCCTTTGCCACACTGATGCTTATCCGATGCGGGAGAAGATCAAGTGAATGTGGTAAAAATATCTGTGCCTGGGATCAGGGGAGTCAGGATAAAATAGGGAGCCAAGTGTCTCAGAGCAGTGAACAAACCTTCACTGGGGAACCAATGAGGCTTTGAAGTAATTTCATTGATATCAAACTTGGAAACCCTTTTTAAGAACTGAGATGCTTTATGAGCTGTTTAATAAAGCACTTGACTGGGAAAGGAACAAATATTTTATTAGGCTGACACTGAGTGCTTTTTGTTTCAGGTTTTGGGGGAAGCAGGGCTGGCAATTATGTTTAATTGGTGTCCTTTTCCTCTTGTTATCATTGGTGTATTGATTGCTGGGAAAACAAAATGCATGGGTTTTGAAATTTACTGTAAAGTAAGGGCTCTCTTGTTTGTTTTGTTTAGCGCTGTGTACTCAAACCAGCTCATTTTTCTTTGCTTTGCTGGCAAATACAATGTTTTGATTGAAAATGATACTAAATAATCAGTTAAATGGGATATTTAATGACAAGAAAAATTCTTCAAAATATTTTTTCCCATAGGAAAATCATGCACTTCACTTTCTGAGAGTAAAAATGCTAGCATGAATCTGCATTCTTCCTATGATGCTACTACAAAAGTAAATACATGGGTGCACAGCATGCGTGAAAGCTGTGGAGGTTAAGGTATAGTAAATCTCAGGAACTCTGATGCAAGACAGAGCCCTAGAGTAAGTTCAGTTTTTCCCTCATATAGTTTTAATTCAGACATTCTTGCAATGGACTTGCAGTCCATTGTCAGTTTTCCTTCCCTGTGGGAAGCTGACCTCCTATATGAGGAGAAAGCTTGGTAGATGAGAGTGGAGCAGGTGATATTGAGGAAGGACTTTGTCACCACGTCCCACAAGATCCTCACAGACACACAGCTGATGTGGGGCTGGACTGGAAACTGGCAGAACAGGCCCAGCAGCAGAAAGTCCAGTTGTGTTGGGTGACTCGGGGTGTACTCCAGAGGTCAGTGCTGGGTCCCACCCTGCTCAGCCTCTTCATTAACGATCTGGATGATGGGCACAGTGTACCTGCAGAAGTTTCCAGATTACACAAAACTGGCAGGAGTGGCTGATACATCAGAGGGTCGTGCTGCCATCCAGAAGGACATCAAAAAGCAGGAGAATTGGGCTCACAGGAGCCTCCTGAAGTTTGCCACAGAGAAGTGCAAAGCCTTGCACCTGGGGAAGATCATCAGTACATGCCAGGGGTCACCTACCTGGAAAGCAGCTCAGCAAGAAAGGACCTGGGTGTCCTAGTGGACACCAAGTTGACCACAAGCCACAACCCAATGATGGGCTAGAGCATCTCTGCTGGAGGAAGTTTGGTTTTTGGGAAGGTGCTGGTGAGAAGACAGTCCCCCAGGGCTATGCAGGCAGTACCTTCCCATGGTAGGTGCTCAGGGCTGGGCACTGACACATCTGGCCCAACACAGTGCTGTAGCTGCTGATGTCCCCATCCCAAGGGGCTGCCTCATGCTTTGAGGGAGACATCTGCACACAGACAGCTGTGTAGGGGGAAAGCTGATTTAAACAGTCATAAAAACAGTAACTTGTCTTCCCAGTTTGAGCAGAAACTGGGAGCACAAATGCTGCACGGAGTCAGACGCCCCAGCTGGGTTGAAGGGACATCACTTAACACGTGACTCAGCAGTAATTATGGCTGGCAAATTTATATTTGTCCTCCACGTGTCGGATTTAATACATCAGATTTCCATGCACTGTCTCCACCTCAGAGTATGTGTTCAGCTCGCTGGAAGCTAAGCAAGTTGATGCTGTGCAGTCATTTGTGTACAATACCAAGGATAAAAAATAAACTACGACTGTAAAGGTTTTATTTTCAGAAACTTGGTGAAAGGTTCCTCGAAGCATGATGATTCAGAGTCCCCAGGAACAGGCCTGGGCTGCAGATATGAGAACTACTGAAGATTTGGGAATAGCGAGAGCAATCTGAAATAATTTCAAGGTAGCCCTGTTTTTATAGTGCTGGCTTACATGTAATAGTGTATATTGTGTAAGCAGTGGTCCTTTTGGAAGCAGAGCCCATCAGTTCAGTGTTACAACCAGTTAGTGAAATAGTTTGTGAATGGAGTAAAAGAAAAGGGAAAGGCATCCAGGAGTACAGCAGCAAGTGCCATCTCCCTTACACTTAGGGTATATCACAGTTTCCACTGCAAATGTAGAGGGTTTTGTGAGGCTTTCAATTTGGGTATAAAAATTCAGTTCAGGATGACATTTGTGAGGAAAATGTTCTATTCCTTCCACAGCATTTACTGTCTCTCTTGTATATATTGCCCTTGGGAGTGAAGGCACTGATTTCAGGCCCATGATAGGATTTTTTTTCAATTGCTCTGATTTGTTTTTAAACGAGAAAAAAGTGAGTTCTCTTCTCCCCAGAATGGATTGCTAACTGCAAATTGTTGACAATACAATATAGTTGGTAAATCTATGACTCCAACGTGCTCTTTGCAGGCGATTAGCCTGTGCAGTAGGCAGATGGCCATGGTATTTATTCAGTGGAACTATTTAAAAGACCGAAGTGCCATCAGTTTGTCAGGCTGCTGCATTTGAGAATGATCATGCTGTGTGCTGAAGCAGTGTATACATATTGTCCATGTCCCATCTATAATGTGCCATTTTGCACTGCTGTAATGATTTTGTTTCTCTCTTGTTTCCCCAGGGCTTAACAGCTTGGATGGGAGCCTTGACACAAATAGCTTTGCTTCTTGAAAGGATCCACCAAAGCAGCAGTGGAAAATAAACCTGTTGCATTATTCTCTAGCATCTTTTGAATTGTCTGATGAGGTGCTTGTTTTAACTGCTCCTTGGCAGCATTCAGCTTATCCTCCACAGGGTGATTTCCCTAGTTGCTTCCACAGGTGCTTCCATAAGAAGTACCATGAAGCAGTGCATACATACATGGTGAACAGGAGATGTGCAGAGGGATGGGCAGCAAAGGCTGTGGGTGTAACTTCCATACTGGCAGTGATACAGTGGTGTGGTCCTCCCTTCTCTCTGACTGGTGCCAGAGTGAATCCTGCCCATCTTTCCAATGCCTTTCTCTCCTTGCCCTCGATTGATTTTGAAGGGTACCTCCTAAATCCTAACAGGGAGTTAGTTGTTGAGTGAGTCAAGGGACTGAGGCAGAAGAGAGCAGAGCTAAACTGGGATGTCCCCCTGGTGCCCCTTAGAGGAGACAGAGAAGTACGTGCCCAGTGACTGCCTTTTTGGATGACTAAGCAGTGGTCATTGAGCCCCTTTCTCAGAGGCAGTGGGACTGTGTTTGGCGTCCAGCTGGCAAGAGGATGAAGGCCAGCTCGCCTTAAGAAATATCCTGTGGGTCTCCTCTGCTCTGCCTGCCCCATACCTTGGAGGCATTCACTATCAGCCCATCTGCAAGCAGAAGGGGAATAGGCCCCACTGGCCCTCGTGGTGCCTCTGCACCCAGCTGATGTGTGTGGTGTACCAAAAACAGCACCACAAATGGTGCAGCACAGGGGAGAAGGCAAGCTCACTACTAGCTGTGGGTTGACTACTCCTTTGCCCTTTGGTGCTCAAGGATTACACTCCTAAAAGCATACATGGGTTTGCCAGGGTTCTCAGTCCCAGGTGCCTGAATGAATAGGTGAATCAGAGGGAAATGTGAGAGGCAAACACTGCTGAAATCATTTATGGGTTCTACATGTGGGAGAGCCCACATCTTATTTGTGTATTAATAGTTCGTGTTATTTGTGTAGTAATAGTTCATGTATTTGGTATATGAAAGCTCACTTTATTCAAATACATTTCTTCTAGTCTAGCAACAAAACACCAATAATAATGTGGTAAAGCCTTTCTGTATGGCTGAAACTATAGAGACCAAAATTTGTAGCATGGAAGATGATTTGTAGTTGGTTTGATCAGTGACATCAAGCAGTGAGTTTTGGGAAAACACTGAAGTCCATATCCAACCATAATTTTGTCCCCAAGCAGCTCCATTAAGTCAAGATTTTTAATTTTTTGTTTGTTACTGTGTTTATACTGAAGGGAAGCCCTATTTTTCCAGAAGATACTGAGCCAGGCATCCCACAAAGGGAGCATCTAATCCCTTCCCATGGTGCACACATTATAATTTGAGTTCTGTGTGGACATGAGGTACGAGCCATGGTACAGACGAGCAGGCAGAGTGCAGGGAGAGGCGTGCTGCAGCCCCACAGGGAGGCACACAGCAGCCTTGAGAAAAGTCTTGTACAGCCATCAGCAGGAGATAAAAAAATAAGCTGGAGTTATCACTACCCTCCCAAAGCATTTGTGTATAGCTAAGATATAATTTCCTGTACAGTCACACACATCATTGCATAGTGCCATGAACTTTGCTCTTATCAGCATCCTGATGGGAAAGCTGGGATTATTTACAGTAGGGCTTGTTTCAGTGTTCCAAACTTCTTTTCGGTTAAAACAAAGAGCAAATTAAATATAAAATAGATAAGTAGGGAAAGTGAAATTGATTGTCCAAAACTGAGGTATGATAGGCACAGGAAACTTAAGGCACTTCCTCTAGATTACCTTCTTTTCTGTGTGTTAGATACATGAAACTTATTTTAAAAACTGGATAACTGAATAATTTATGTGTAGTGAAGCAGCAATTTTAAAAGACCCAAAAACCCCCCCAACCCCAGCACATGCTTCAGGTTTGCTTTTTATTACAGAAGTATAGTACAGTTATCACTGTTAGTACCAATACTGAAAATTAACTTCTGCTTCAGTCCCTTCCATGAGGATTTAGGGTTTTGTATGGTGTACACTATGGATATAGTATATAAAAAAGGAGTCCAAGAACTACAAAACACCTTTGGACAACTTCAGTCCGTCTCTTGATCTCAGATCTTCAAAGTTTCCTCATTTGAGGTTTGGGGACTTGGATCCTTTTCTCTCTGCCTGCTTACTGACCTTGATAAAAGATTTTTAGTCTAACACATGTTTAGCAGCCCTGGGATTCCCTCCCAAATGACACTAAAAATAGCTTTACAGGGAGCAGGATCAAATTGTGCTGGACTACACTGTACCTGGCAGCCAGCTACTGCTGAACTGCATGCTGTGGGCAGGATCAGGAAATATTTTTAAGTATGTATATGTATTTTTTTTATATATGTTAATTTTTTTTTCTGCAGTGATGACATGCTCAAGAAGCAGATGTACTGAAATACAGAAAGGTACACTTCTACATAGGAAAGGTGAGGGGGGAAAAAATCCACCCCAAACCCATAAACCTGGGTCAAGGGCTGCACCTCACCTTTCTTGTGGGGTGCTCACAGGGTGGGGCGCTCCCAGAGGTAGTGACCTGGCTCCCAACAATGTATATTTACAGATCCCAGGCACATATAGGATTCAGTGTGGAAAACAATATTTGATTGTGCTTTGAAAAAAGCCAGCCAAGCTTACAGGCTTTTCGCCATAGTTTCTGAGGGTGATAAATGAACTCTTCTTCCTCCCATCTCAGTATTTCCTCTGCCTCCAGCCCTGTTGCCTTTTAAAGCAGCAATGGGGGAATTTTATTATGTTTTATACTTTCATCTTTAGAGTTGATCTGTCCCTTTCTCCATGGGTCCCTACAGCGTGCTAATCCCTCAAGTCTCTTACACAGCATAATTTTCATCTTAATTTTTCTGTTTCTTAGTGTTTAATGGTTTTGCCAGGGGAACAGGGGGTCATTTCCTGTCCCCACCAGATCATTAATTCTCTATGAAAACACTGCAGTTCTCAAGCAAACAGAAACATTGAGAAGAGGCAATGTGATGTGCAGAACACTCAGCTGTGCTGCAGCAGCTGGAGGAGCAAAGACACTGGTGTGCACTGCAGAGACCAGAATGGTCATTTGAAAAAACAGGGAGGGAGAGATTATGTAAGAGCAGGAGAAAATGGCTGTTTAATTCCTTAACAGAAATGATGATGTCTGTTTTTTTCAGCTTAATCTGCTGAGCTGTCTCCTCATAGTCTTTATTTTTATAAACAATTACGGTTCTTTTTTTTTTTATTTCCAAAACAACACTGGCCCAATGGTTTTCTTTCTGATATTTGTCACTTTTTGTATAAGACATTTGAATTTTGCTCCTGTTTTCAGCACTTAGGTGTCTCTGCCTTCCTGTAATCTGTCTCAGCCAAAGCTGGAAAAAAGGAAACAAACAAAACCCAAACCCCCAGCCCTATATTTGTGAATCTTTTCTGCAGAACATTTCATGAGATGGGAAAAATCCAGAATATTCTTCTTAAGCCAGCAGCAGGAGGGGGAAATAAATGACTCATGTGTTTACTTTTAAAAATCCTTTTTAAGCACTCAGATGTGCCTGATAAATTATTAGCATTTCCCCCAACCAGCTTCTGCTACCAACTCCTGGCATTTCTGTAGGTAGTCCTGTGCTCACTGTAGTATCTCACTGCCAAATCCAAGGATTTACAAGTCTCAGGAGAGACTTAGTAGATTTCCCACTTCCTTGCCTTGGACATTTTTTAGCCTCTGTTTGTGGGTTTTTGGTTTTTTCCCCTTTTCTTTGACCTCTTTGCAGGTTTGTTGATCTTACAAAACATCTGTGCCAGCAAACCACTTATGTAAGCACCAGAGCCAAGGAGTTCTTTACATGCTCTTAGACTCAGGCACATCCCCAAGCTGGGACCCTTCACCCAGACAATTGCAATTTCTCCCTGTCATCTCTGTCATCCCAGTACCAGAGAGCCTGCAGGACATGGGGAAGTGCCTCGCTCCCATGGGCCTGAGTAGCTGGGCAGTGGTGATCGCATCATTTGCTCATAGAGAGCAGGATTCAGCTGTGTGATGGTGAAAGATGTACATTTGGGGTGTGCTGGTGCTTTCCCATGGTAACAGAGTTGAAACTGGACAAGTTTCCATGGTGATTATTACTACAGCAGGATTCTCTTCACACTTCGGGAGAGGCATGGGCAGCACCAGGCAAAGCAGCCAGGCACCAGCCAAAGTCTGCTGGCAGCAGCTCACAGGGCAGAAATTTTTTATCCTTCTAAATAAATGTATGCATAGTACCATTAATTTGCTGGCTTTTTTTGATTTTTTTTTCCCCAGGACAGCGAAGTGTTGATCTTTAGGGGGAAAAGGCTGTATGAACAGAAACAATCCCTGCCATATTTTAATTGCCATTTGCTTGGTTGATGTAAAGAGTTGGGCTGTCAAACTGGATTTTAAGTTGTTTTCATTTTTTTTCCCCCAGGTCTTTAATGAATCAGGTGCCTGGTTCACGTTACTGTCTCTAGCTCTGTGGCAGGATAAAGACTGGGGTTTTGGTTGGTTTTGCTTTGCCGTTGTATGGTCGTGCTCCTTTCTGATCCTGCACACAACCAGTTGTGGGAGGAAAAAGGGACAAGCATTGAAGGGGAATGAAGTACCCTTCACGAATGGTTGAATATTTCATGGCTGCAGTATTTTTAGAAATGTTTGTTTTGGGGCTTCTGTTGAGTTAAAACACCATGCTGTCACTCAGCGCTGACATGCATTGTCATTATGTGAAGCTGTGTTTAAAAATGTGGAACGGGCATCCCAAGTCCTTGTTTCAGGCTGTACTGAGAGGGTTTTTTGGCTGCAGGCAGTCCTTAAGGACGTGTTTATGGCTAAATTTAAGTTCCCCAAAATGTTTTGCACAACACTCAGGGCTGTATGTATATCCTGCATCTCTGTATATATAGTACGCTGTATATTGGAGCTGTTAGCTTCAAGTGTGGAAACATTTAATGGCTTTTCCTTGGTGACGGGGTCTTTAAAGGCAGTTGCAAATATTATTTTGGGGAAGAGATTTATGTGGTGCCTAAAATATGCTTCTGGCTTGCAGGCCAAATTATGTCAGTGCTGATGCTCCTGGCAGCGCGGAGCCGTCGCGGGTCCCACTGACAGCGATGTAGAGGTGGTGCTGGCAGAGACCAAGAAGCCCTGCGACATGGAGGAGCTGTACAAGGATGCCCCCAACCTGCCTATGGATGTCACCAACTCACCCTCGGCGATGGCCAACAACAAGCTGGAAAACGGGGTGGCTCAGCTGATCACAGCAGAGGCTTGGAACATCAACTCGGCCGACCTGATGAAGAAAGCCCTTTCCCCGCTGGTGACAGTCCCTGCGTCCTCCATCCTGACGCCACCGGCCGAGTCGCAGAGCGGGGTGGCGCTGAAGGTGGCGGCCACCGTGCTGCAGCCCATCTGCCTGGGGGACAGCCCCGTGGTGCTGCCCATCCACCTGCAGGTCGCCGGCAGCGCAGCCCCACAAATGCCAGCCGCCAATGCCGCCACCCCCTACGTGATGACAACGCAGGGCCCGGTGCCGCTGCCCGTGCTCCTGGAGCAGCACGTCTTCCAGCACCTGAACTCGCCCCTGGTGCTGCCCCCGGGCGCCGCCTGCCCCGCCAGCCCCCTGCACGCCGGCCTCTTCCCCGGCAGCGCCGCCCCCGTGGGGCAGCCCCAGCTGCTGGACCCCAAGCCCGCCGGCCAGGCGCAGGAGCCCGTCCTGCCCCCGGTCTTTCAGACGCCGGGGTTCGCCGCCGTCCTTCAGGACCTGTTTCCCTCACAGGGCGCGCTGGGCTCGGCCCCCTGTCAGCCGCCGCCCGACTACGCCACGCTCCCTCCGCAGGCCTTCAGCTCGCCCCTGTCCCCGCTGGTGCCGCCGGCTACGCTGCTGGTGCCCTACCCCGTCATCGTGCCCCTGCCCGTCCCCATCCCTATCCCCATCCCTGTCCCCATCCCTGTGCCCCACGGCGCCGAGGCCAAGGCGGCCGCTGACCCGCCCAAGCCGCCGCTCTTCACCCCCCACTCCTGCAAGGGCACCCAGACGCCCCTGGAGAAGGAGGAGACGAAACCCTTCGAACTTGTCCACCCACGGGAGTTTCCGCAGCTGAGCCGCCACACTGTCATCAAGATGGGCGGCGAGAACGAGGCGTTGGACCTGTCCATGAAAGGGCCGCCGGCGCTCCGGGCCAGCGAGGCGGTGCCGCCGCCGCCGCCACCCGAGGACGGGGCGCTGGACCTGTCCCTCGCCTCCTGCCGCAAGCCGGGGGCGCCGCACGGGGAGGCGGCCGGCCCCGGCCCTGCCACCGCCGCCGAGGTCGGTGCCCACCCCGCCCCGGACAAGCTCCCCGGGCCGGCCGCCCCCTTCGGGCCGTGCAAGGCCGCGGAGGCGGCGGGCAAGGCGGAGGGCAGGGCCGCGGGCGGCGCGGCCGAGCTGCTGCGGCAGCCGCAGAAGTGGCTGGTGGAGCAGGCGGGCAGGGCGGGCTGCGAGCCCAAGGCCGGCAACAACATCGAGATCGTCAGCACATCGCAGACAGCCAAAGTCATCGTCTCCGTCAAGGATGCCGTGCCCACCATCTTCTGCGGCAAGATCAAGGGCTTGTCGGGGGTCTCCACCAAAAACTTTTCCTTCAAAAGGGACCTGCCCCAGGACTCGGTGCTGCAGTGCTACGATGTGAAGAGCCCGCCCGAGCCCCGGGACAGCGCAGAGGCCCTCAGGAAACCCGTCAAAAACAGGAGCGTAAAGCTAAAGAAAATGAACTCGCCGGAGATACATATTCTTCCAATCAAGAAGCAACGGCTGGCTGCCTTTTTTCCAAGAAAGTAAATTATGGGTTTTTAGAATTTTAAGATTATTATGAGAAGAAGAAAAAATAATAAAAAAAAAAAGATGCACTCGGTTTTAAACTCATTTAAAACTTTAAACTATCTTTGTAAGTTATTTTTGGGGGAAGAGGGAGAGGATTGGATGTAGAGGCCCTATAAGCTGGGTTGGTTTGGTTTTTTCTTTTGTTTTTGGATTATTTTTTTTTTTTGTTACCAAATTTTGACTTTTCATGGGAAACTGAATAAAAAGCAACCTATTTTTCAAGCAGATTGCACATTTTGCAGCTTTAATGGAGTAATGGATGAGTCAGAGGGGTAAGAGCTATTTTCACTGCCATAAAGTGCTTTGATGATGTAACTCTTCATAACAGTTGGAATGGAAATTTCAAAATAAATGTTTGTACGTGCTAATTGGTTATGGCATTTTTTTCTCATTTCCGAATTGCTTTCAGTCTACAAAGAAGGTCGTGCAAAATGCCTGTAAGCTGTAAAGCGCTGCAACTGACTTGTGATGAGCCTAAGATCTTAAAAAAAAAAATAAATAAAGGTAGGCTAAGAAAAATTATCTTGTCCATGTCACAACAGCTGCTAACAATGCACCCAGTGAGCCACCAGAGGAGTGAGAGTGAGTGCTCCAGCCTAGTGCTCATCTGAGACAGGTTCACTGTGAGAGACCCATAGCAAACCATCTTAAGTAATGTTATCAGTCATTTAAAACAAAAAAGCCTAAAAGGGGAATTTGGTTGCCAGGGGGTAGGAGGGGAAAAAAGAATCACATAATTTTTCCCAGCCTGAATACAGCTATATAAAAAAGTTGCTTATTGTTGGATTCCTAAGTTTCTTTGATGGCCGATATCAATGCAGAGCTGAGTAACTTTTATCACTCAGCAGTGTACAAAGCCACCCACATAAATGGAGAGATGTGAATGTAATAATTAAATAAAGTTCTGCTAGGTTACAGTTTTGCACTTGTCTGTGGAAATGAGGTGGAGGTGAATTACTGTTCGTGGGCTTCGAAGTTCACACAGCTCACTGGTAAAAACAGATCCTGATGGAAGGACAAATGTGAGAGCGGAAGGACAGTTTTTGGTGGGTCCTGCACTTTTTTTGTGGCTATACCAGTAGAAAACTTTTGTTACAATTTCAGATTACATGTTCCTGCAGGGCAGAAGGACTATCTGAGTAAAATAAGCCAACTGGATGCCGTCACATGCTAACTATGCCTGCCTTTGCCTTGCTGCCACCAGCCTATTTCTAAGACTCCTCTTGGACAGCTTTGGGAAGGTTTTTGCAGTTGTTCATACAATAGGAAATCGCACAAAGCAGCAGCTTCAGTGTCTCAAGCCTTCTCACACTCATAGGCATCAGTGTCATGCCAAAATCTGCTGCAAATTTTGATAGCAGCAGGCACCAGTTCGGTATTTGGAAAATTAATCTGCACTATGAGGTTAGGAAAGGCATTATGTTTCTCTTTTCCTTGGCTGAAGGATCACTGCCTTCTTGCTTAGTACAAAAATGGAAGACTTTCACATAAGCACAGCATCAGTTCTGTCAAACTCTTGCTTTTTAAGCATTTTAAAGCCTTTTATTTTTCCCTGAGGTGACAAAACTGACAACATTCAGAAAAGCCTAAAGTGTTGATGGATTCATTAATGTTTAGTCATCTGACTGTGTTTTTTTAAAGTATCTTTTTTTTTTAATTGAAAATACTCAGCTACTTCATTTTTCTCCTTCCAAGAAACTGCTAATAAAATATGTCAGCTGTTTATTGCAGTGCAGAGGCTGAGGATTTCAACGTCCCTTGGGATGGCCATCCCAGTTGTCACTGTCCGCTTCTATTTCAGCCTGCCCGTTCTAGAGTGTCAAAAAACCTTCTGATAATGTGAATTTTCCCCAGGGCTATACCACAGTAAAATAAGGCGGTCACTGAATTGGCTACTGTCATTTTTATTTTGCAGTTGACAAAAGCAAGTTCAAAAGAAATTTAATTTCTTTTTTTTAAAGAAGTGTTTCACACTGGTGGTGGCATCTGCTGCACCAACTGTACAAATCCTTGCTGTCCTTTCATGAATCATTTCCCACAACATCCTCAGCAGGCAGAGAGGGCATCCATCCACTGCTGCCCTACTGCTGATAGCTGGGACAGGCAGAGCTTGTTGGTGGCACTGGCTGCAGGTGCTCAGCTTTTCCCTCCTCTCCTTCAGAGCCCTTTTCTGGGAGCATCAATGCTGTGGTACCTCCCAGCCCGCTCTGCACACAGAGAGGTCTGGTTTAACTGAATTTAGACCACAGGCTCCAGAAACCCTGACAACAAATAAGGCTAAATCAGCTTTATGACATTATAAACCCATACAAGCGCTGTCAAAACAGCCAATGCCTGGGGACAACAAATTGAGTTTAAAGCCAACTGGTGCTGGTTGTAACAGTAGACCAGACTAGCAGCCATGTGGCTGCATCTTGCCCCAGTCCCTTGGAGGGGTAACTGCAACCTCTTCCTTCTGAAGCAGGGCTGAGGAAAAACAGAGCAGGCTCCAATTATCCCACCATCCCTCTCTGCCACTCCAGGACAGCCTCCCTGACTTCACAGGGCCAGGATGGGCAGGCTCCCTGCCACTGCCAGTTGCCACCAACATCCTCAGAGCCTGTGACACAGGCTGGAGCCACTCTAGAGATGGATAAGCAGAGCAGTCAGGGCTCAGCCACCCCACTGCCTGCCTTTTCCATTGTTTGAACTGCAGGGGCAGGGGGAATATTCTCAACAGCATCTTCCCAGGAAGGCTTAGGACAGCTGGCACTCCCTTACCCTGCTGCCATTTCATGCAACCCCAGGCTTCAAGGCTGTGCCATGGGAAGAGGAGCCACACACTGGCACCTCTCCTGCTGCTGAACTCTGGTGGGCAAATGATGCTAAGCAGGGGCCTTGCCTCCCACCCCCCTCATGTGTGAAGCACAAGTCTTAACATCCCATCAACACGGGGGAGAAGTGGCTATAGAACAAAGTACTTAATTACACCAAGATCGAGCACTTTCACCTCCTCCTCCTCCTCCTCCTCCTCCTCGCCTCTAGCAGCAATTACAGATTTTGTATATTGCGCCATTAATTTTCTACAGGGCTACATTTTAACTGCTTCTGGAACTTCAATATGAGGAGAAGGATGCAGAGCTACACTCATGATATATGAAGCTTCCATTTCTGGTGGCTGTTAATGGAGACATTAATACCTCTAGTGAAGTTGAAGGGAAAGTCATTAAGCTGTAATGGTAGGAGGAAGACATTTTACAGTGATGAGTATATGCGAGACAGAAAGGGAGAGCAGAGGGGGAGAGGAGCCCTGCCCTTAGGGGCACCCCTGGTTGGCTCCAGTCTCCATGTGATTTGGACTTTGGGTGTGGGGTCTTATTAGGGAGTGAGTGAGAGGGTAGAAGGCTGTCAGGTTCTGTTGCCTTTCCCTTTGCTCTCTTCCCCCTGTCAGGCAGGGGCTTTGCATGAATCCAGAAACTAAATCCAAGGTGGGCAGAAGGACTGCACATCTCAGATGAAGGCCATGGGACAGGGCAGTCTCAGGGGATTGAGTTCTCAGATGTACCAGCTTTCCTACACAGGATAGCCTTTCCTCAGTGCTGCCAAAGCACAGCTTCAGGACCAGGCGTGCACACCTAAGGCTTTCACATGTGGAGTTAGCTGTTAGGAAAATAATATAATCCAAAAGAAGAAGGAGCAGCTTCTCAGAAAGGGAACTTAACTGGACTGGGCAGTTTCTGGGTTGGGAGGACACCAAGCAGTCAGGTAAGGCACAGATAACTGTAAGTGCAAGGAAAAGGTGGAGAATAGGGAAAGGAAAGGAGGCAATGGAAGCTGAGACAAGATCCAAGCCTCTTAGTGTTGCACCTTCATTGAAGTTAGCAAGCAGCCAGCCAGAGAATCAAAGGGAGAAGCAAAACGAAGGCCTTTGGCCATGAGCTGCTGACAGAGAGAGAAAAGAAAGGCATCAGCTTCAAAGACACAGCTCAGGCTGCTTGGTGAGAGCAGGGAGAAAGGCAGGCACTGAGCCCAGTGAGGGCAATGCTTTCTTGGGCTGAAGGCAAGCAAAAAGTGAAGGCTGGGGGAGACCATATATCAAACCACATATGCAGAGCACGCAAGGCAGTGTGTGCTCCTCCTTCTCCTCCTGCCCTGACAGCAGGGGACAAGGGGCAGCAAAACCATCCCAGCAGAAATGCAAAGGGAAGCAGAAGAGCAAAGGTAGCTGGTTTTGCCTTTCCCATGCCTGAGGTAACATGTATGACCTATATTTCCTACCACTCACACTCCTATCTGCTGTAAAATTGGTATGCCACGATGTCTCACAATCAGCGCTCACTTTTTTAACCACTTCTACCCATTTTCTGCTCAGGCCTCCCAGAACACTGGGATGATTACACCACCTTGCACATCCCTGCAGAGGTTTGACCCATAGGTGCTCAAGGATCAGCTTCACACACATGCACATGAAAGGTTTCAGGGGAAACCATTTGGCAGAGAAGTGGCCACTGGGCATGGAAGGGAATGAATCGGAGAAGTCTGTGCCCCTTCACTTGTACAGAGGCAACTTGGGACTGTGATCTGACAATAGTAAGTGACTTGTTAACAGTTCTCATGAAGAATATTAGACAATGAAAACAGCATAAAACAACATTGCATAATATCCTGCTGCCAGATGTTTTGTTTTTGTGCTCAAGTTTATAAAAACATGTTGAAGGGCTAAGTCAAGGACCTTGTTTTCCTCTGGGGTCTGTTCCTGCCTTCCCAAAGGCAGACAGCCTGACACAGTGACATTAACAATGTTAATTTGTGCAATTTGCTTTTTTCACTCACCTTTCACTTTTTTTCCCCCAACGCTTCCTCCTCCTCCTATTTAAAGTTGCATTTCTCTTAGATTATACTACATACCTTAATGCTGAAGTTTTCAATTCAGAGTACTCTGGGGCAGTTTGAGACACACAAGCAAATCCCCCAATTTTAGTGTGGAAAACCTATTTTCCACAGTTGTTAAAATCATGGTATTGCAATACTGTTAGGAAAATCTGTTTTGTTGTTGAACCATCTGAAACATTTCTTCATGTTTGGGTAGAAATATTACTAATGGCTAAAATATTTAGTACTGCTTTTTGCCCATATACCCTAGGCTCTCTTAGAATAATACCATAATATCCCAGTACTGAAATTATTAGGATTTGTCCAAACTAAGATATGGAAATTAGAAGAGCAAACAGCGGGTACAGTCTAATCGAGTATCTGGAAGGAAGGACTATTTCTACTATTTTCCAAGTGGAAGATCATTTTTTCACTGTTTGGAACTGTGTTTCCAGTGAAACTCTGGTAACAGACACGTTGCATCCCTGCATCACCCTGTGTCTCCCCTGGCTTGCTC